AGAGAATTTTTGAAATTCAATGCGTATCCATGAAATGTGTCTGCAAGTGTTCGAATGTTCTTCGTAAGAAGAGTTAGCTAGAAAAATTTATCATTAACAAATAGTAATATTTATAGATTAATATTATCTAGCATCTTTGTCCACGAAATATAACATAATGACTGCCGCGCGAATGGGTTAATTGTCGCAGGAGGTGCCGCCGTTGGCTTTTACGTAGTCGTTTCTTATTAGCCGATCGATTCGGGCTTTAAAACGCTTCAGTGAAGCGGGACCGGGACCGGGACCGGGAGGCGCGGTTCCACGAAGACGTACGGCGCTAGAAGTCGCCCGTGTAAATGCTAATCGAGATTACCAAGCTAGATTAGCAGACTAGACGCGGAAGTGGTGTGTGTGTGTGTGTGTGTGTATGTACCTGAGCAATGTACCTGGTTGACAGACGAGAAACAAGCGCGCAAACTTCCTTGAAATCAGTGGTCGTTCTCTATGGTCACGTTGTTCCGTCCATTGTTACGGGCCGGTCGTAACCTGTCGATTAAATCTAATTAACCGTCGCGTTTCCGCGTCCATTGCGCTTTTCATTAGCAGATGAAGCACGTGTGCCTGCCGCGTAAATCTGATTATGTTCGCTTGCTACTCCATCGAGGAGAAAACGAACACGTTGCTCAATTTCCCAGAGCAAATACATTTCCTTGCGTCACCGCTTGCGTTGCGTTCGATTTGCATGAATTTCCCAACGAAAGGTTTAGGTTTACTGTTTGTTGAAATCGAAACAGCTTTGGTACGCGCGAGGGCGGCGAGGAAGCTTGACGAAAGGGACGCGAGTTTCTTCGCGTGGCTCGACTGTAGCTCGTTAGCGAGATAACTACGCTCTCGATATCTCTTCTCGAATTTTCTTCTCGTGTCTCGCGCGATCGAGGAGGGAAGGAGAGTAGGTAACAAGTTTCTAGAGAGGTCAGAAGGCGTCTGAAAGCGGCTGAACGTGCTCCTCGCGGCTGCAGCCTCTCCGAATATGGCGCGCAAAAGTGGGGATTTTCAGATTCGCGAAAGACGCCATAAAGTTCCTGTCCTTCGACCCAGTCTCGAAGAAGGCTCGTTTCCCCGTCCTGGGCAATGCGCCTTCAGGGACGATTAACGCGGAACTCGACACTCCTCCTTCCTCCCTCCTTGACTCTGCCGGTCAAATAACTCCCTTCTTACCAATGTCGATCGCGCTATCCTTGAGACTGAAATCCTTTCAGAGATCCACGTACACGGATGTACGCCATTAATCGTTGAAAGTAATCACGTTCTCAATTCACGTATTGTTGATGTTTCTACACTACGTAGTGGTAGTGCTGTCTGTCATTAATCAGATTTTTCTTTCATCACGCAGAACGGAGATCTATGCATATCAATCCTGCACCCGCCAGTCGATGATCCACAGAGCGGTGAGCTGCCGTGCGAGAGGTGGAATCCAACGCAGAATGTCAGGTGAATAGAACACACACACACACACACACACACACACACACGTGCACGCATAGAGATAGAAATTGTCGAAATTAATTTAACCCTTTCGCTGTCGGGCCGAAAGTGTGCACGTAGAAAGGAAAAGATGAAACAATGATCTCATAGTACAATTAGAAAATATAATTTAATAATGTAACTTCGTATGGAAAGTTTCAAAACGATCGTACATAACGAGCATCAATCGTTGGGTGACTCAATAGTCACCGCTCGTAGCGAAAGGATTAATAATTAATTAATCTCGAGAGGTTGTCGAGTACTCTAGATTATCACAATTGTAAAATAAGTGTGTGTGATGAGCTCTGATTTTGAAATAGGACGATCCTGTTGTCTGTGATCTCGCTACTGAACGAGCCGAATACGTACAGCCCTGCCAACGTGGATGCCTCTGTGATGTATAGACGCTGGCGTGACTCCAAGGGTAAAGACAAAGAGTATGAAAATATCATAAGGTACGATAATATTGATCTATTCCGCATCCTGCAACTTTTTTTCTTCTCTTCTCTCTTTCTCTCTCATTTACGCTCCGCGTGGCGCTTTCCTCCTCTTCTTCTATGCGCGCGAAATTTGATTTTATTCATTCGAACGTTCAGGTGAGAAACAATGTTAAAAATACAGAAAGATATAACATAGATGGACCATAAGACAAACGAAGGAAGCGAGAGACGAATTAAAGAAAAAAAAAAAAAAAAAAAGAAAAAAAGAGAATGTTAATCGATCGCACGCGCGTGCATAAAAAATTTCATATCGCGACAGTGAGAAACATTCGGGATTTAAAACGGTTTGCAAGCTCTCGTTGACAACGTGTTTCGCATTGCTTTTGCGAAACAAAAAGATACGAGGCAATTGTGGTGACGGCACGGCACATGCAAGAGGTGATTCGTTGTGATTACAGAAAACAAGCACAGGCAGCAAAGATGGAAGCTGAAAAGGAGGGGATCGTCGTTCCGGTAACGTTGGAGGATTATTGCATCAAGACTCATGCGAGGCCAGCCGAGCAACAGCTAGACATGACGGATTTCTATGATGACGAGTACGAGCTGGACGACGACGACGACGACGACGACGACGAGCAAATGAGCGCCAGCGACTACGAAGACGGTGACGACAGTGGTAACGGAGAGTCGTGATCCATCTTCTGAGCAGACAGCTAAATAATAAACTCGAGAAACTATCAGTTATGTATAGATTAATAAATTAACGGGCTTCTAAACCGGACGCTCTCTCTTTTCAGACGTGCCACCTGAAATTCAAAAAAAAAAAAAACAAAAAAAAAA